AAGCTGAAGCTGTTATATATATATATTTGCTACATTTGCTATATTTGCCACAGTCTTAGAGCTGAATCTATCCACTTTTGTTGGCTGCCTTGGTTTACGCATAAAATCATGAAATGTGATGAATCGAAAATTATGCATTTTAAATAAGCTAACGAGTATTATGCAGTCAGTAGCGACGGTCTATAACGTTCTTATTTGTTTTCATTTAAAATTTTCTGCTTTTTGGAATTGGCTTTAGCCCTCAGCGCGGCAGAGGGAAACAGATAGAGAAAGTTGAATTGTTGATAGTTTTGTTTGGTTTCTAATTTAAATGCTTATTAAATTGTTTAACTGTTGTTGTTGTTGTTGTTCTTGCTGTTGCTCATTTTACAGGGCGTGGCAAGCGCTCAACTTCCGCTTGGCATTAAAACTAATTGACTTTAGCGAGCTCAATTATGTAGAGTTATTTTGTATAAAGAAGCTAAAGGCAGGATATAAAGCAACATTAATGGCCAATTGAGTGTCGAAAGTAAGTCAATTAGAACTGTAACTATACTATGAATAAAGTTCTTTTTATACACAATCCTTATACTAGCTAGAGGATAAAAATTTAACCTCAAGCCAAAGGAAGTGGCAAGCAAAAGACAACAACAAAATCCAAATAAAAAGCCGAACAAATCAAAATCAATTTGTCAAGCGGCACTTGCCACCACAACAACAACAATGAACAGAAAAGCAACAATGAGCAGATAAGAGAAGCGAAGAGAAGAGCGTATTGAAAAGACGTTCGAACGGCAATCAGAAATCAAAACAAAAACCGCTAAAATAACAGAAAAAGTCCCAAGAAATGTGGCGCAAAACGAGTTTTGCTTATCAACGTGGCGCAAAGGGGCTAAGCGGTAAATCGGCATCAGATACGAAACTTGAATACCCTGTAGACATTGAGAGCAAAGTAAGGCAAGGCAGATCGAGTCAGGATAATAGTTGAGACGATCTAAAGATGAATGCTAATGGAAAGATATGAATGAATATGAATATATGGATACATATAACATAATAATATAAAAAACGGATACTATCATGTAGATGCTTTCTAGCTATAGCTAATAGATTTATGGCTATAAAGAAGGAGAGATATAGAAAAATAAATATAGATAGATAGATAGATACAATATAGACTAATGGATAAATATAAACAAATAGGGATAGAAATATGTATATATGTATATATAGATAGATAGATATGTTATATATATATTGATCAAAATATGTTATATTAATATATTTTTATTTATATTTTAAAATATGGTAGATTATAGAAATATATATAATAGAAAGAGAGATGGATAGATATAGGGATATATAGATATATAGGTTAATAGAAATATATATAGATTGATAAATGCATTGATTAATATATTAAAGATGAATTGATAATACTCTAATAATATTTTTAATTTAAATATATATATTATTAAAAATAATCATTATATAAAAAGTAAAGAAAGCTTGCCTAAAATTAAGTTTTCAAGATCATCACGATCAGTGCAGCGTAGCTTAGTGCAGGGTATAGCTTGTTCGAGCATTGCCTAATATAGAGCGGGCTTGCGGCAAACGCGTGGCAGCAGCGGCAACAGCAGCAGCACAATACACAAGTGCAACGGCAGCAGTGGAGCCAGCCCAGGCACACGTAGGGCAACCCATACAAATGAGTCAGACAGGTCGCCGCGCCAATTGAAATGGACGAGCAGAGGAGCGGAGGGGGCAGGGCAGGGACAGGGACAGGGACAGGGGCAGCGGCAGGGGAACAGGATCCGTTGCAATCGGCAACAATTGTTGAGAAATGCAAAACCAGTGGCCAAAGTAACTGGACAACACTTACAAGTGGGCGGCTGTGGGAGGTGGTGCGGCGGGGTAGGCGTGGTCGGCGCGACAACTTCATTTGTCGCCAATGCCAGTGCTGGGGCATACAACGGAAACAACAACAGCAGCAGCAGCAGCAACAGGGGGCGGTGCAGAGTGTGGGGGCAGGCAAGCAACTTGCGGCACGTCGCCAGGCAAATTGAGGTTAAGTAATGCAGTCAAATGCGTGAAAAATGGCAAGAAGAGCAAAAGCAAAAGCAAAAGAAAATGAAGAACAGCAACTGGCATTAGCAATGGGGAGTGGTAGGTGGTGGGGCGGGGGCAGCGTAGTGGCAGGGGCAGGGGCAGGGCCTTAAAAGGAGGGCAAGAGCGTTCGCTCATGCGCGCAGCCCAAAAGCCAAGCCCCAAAATAAGGAGCCGCATGTAGGATCCGCTGCGTGACGGCGACTTGAAACGAGACACGTTGCCAACAACAACAGCAACAACCATAGAGTGAGCTTAGTTTGTGAGTGCTAGACTGCGAGCTACCCTGTAAACACTGCAATTTCAGAGACTCCTAAAAACCAAGTCGATTAAACCAATTTTAAGATTGAATTCTTGAAGTCTTAATGATGAGTTCAGTTGTTGAGTATGAGTAGAGTAGATGAGCAGGATTTTAAATCCTGGTATCCTTGATGTATAATAGTGAACCGAATCACAAGCATTTTGGGCTATGTTTGTAAAAAGATTTCAAGTTTCGCTTCTGCTTCGCCACTTTTTCTTTATATAAAGAAAAATTCTTTAGTTTCCAACTCTTGACTGATACTTATGATCTTTCTATAAACTAAAGGCAATACACTATATCTAGAATAGAGAAGTTATCGATATAGATTCATCTATATCACAGATAATTGCTTTAAGATAAGCTCCAGACACTGAGTATGAAAGACTAGACTATGGACTTGGCAAATAATCAAAAATAGATGTAAGATACACAGTCAAGTAATGGCCCAACAGTCAATGTGTTACATACACACACATGAAACGAGCATGCCCTCTTTTCAGTACATTCACGATTGAATGCAGGGTATAACAAGTGATGTTGTCATCATCGTGGTCTGCGCGCATTCCTGCAATTGGTTTTTGGGGTCAGTCGAGTTTGGCTGGTAGCAAAAGTGACTCATGTCAGTCACAAGTCAAAAGGGGGCTTACCTCTAAGACCCGCTCTCTATCTTCCTCTCTCTCTATCTCTGTTGCTGCCCCCTCTTGAATTGTGGTAATTAATTTTTGGCGAGGCATCTACATAATGTAGCTGACACCGTGGCTGGCACCTGCGACTCGATCCCAGAATCTGCAAGGCCTCATCCGTTGGCAAACTGCAAACTGGTTGCAGTTGCAGTTGAAGTTTTTGCTGTTGCTGCTGCCCCCGTTGGTTGCAAATGCCGTTTGCTCTTTACGCGCAACTTCTAATCCGTTGGAATTTCAGACACGCCAAACTGGCACACAGACTGACGTTAGACACTGTTTGCAGACATCGAGACAGGTTCAGCTGCCGCTGCAGCAACCGAGCAACCGAGCAACCGAGTGGCATGGCAGTTAGGTGGCACGGCATCTCGATGGCATTGGCTGCTGCCAAAATGTCAAGAGTTTGTCTACAACTGGGAACAGCTATGCATGAAGAGTGCCCCAGCCAGCGGATTATTGCCTTTTGTCTATTTAACAAATGAGGTGAGTCTAGCTCTGGAGTCAGCTCAGCTCAGCTCAGCTCAATAGCTTGGCCTAAGGAGTTGGCTTTTATTTTTGGTGAACATATGTATATAAGTGTAAGTTAACTGGGCTTTGACTTGTTTCTATTTTCTGCTGCTTGTTTACACTGATAACTCTGTGTGGCTATATTAGATATATATAGGGATATAGTAGATATTTTCTGTATTATCATAGTCTTGGATTAGACTTAACTCAACACTAATTATCTATCATGTAAATCATACTCACATTTTTATTGTTCAGTTTCCTTAAAATTTGATCTACTAAAATACCTCATCTACCAATGACTGCTTGTCTATGTTAATGAGAATCGCATAGGTGGGCTATAAAATTGCAGAAACTATTTCTGGCATTATACATAAATACATACGTACTTCTATACATATCAATAGACATGCTTATTATACATTACATTAATACAGATTACATTCATACATTGATGCATACATACATACAGACTTATCAAGCATACATACATTTATTTATACATACATTTATCTATAACACACTTACATATGTTGTATATATCTAGAAATGAACAAAGACTCTGCCTTCCGTATGGACAGTCCTGCTAGAATCTATGCGAATTGCAAAGAAGAGCTCCATAAAAAATATATTTTTTTAAATTTTAAAACCAGGATCATGTGGCACTTGGATTCTGTTAAATGTAATAGAAATTAAATGTAAGTTTATATATATATATATATATATATAAATATATATATGCACATAATACCTATATATTAAATCAGTTCATTTATATATATAAAATGTGTTTATATAAAAAAAAAAATAAAAATTTTATTATTGATAATTGCCTTAGGCTTTTATATGATATATGTATGACTGATAGAGTCAATGTCCCATCCGATATATGTATATTGAACGTAATATCGATATTGATATACTCTATATATACACTAAAAAGCAAACTTAATAGTTATTATTTAAGAAGGAGCAAAATACTAGTTGTTATTTACTGACACAGGGACACGTCTTGCCTAACTCACTCAGGCGTTAAGTTTTGAAAATCGAATGGGCCGATTGCAAGCAGCTAAAATAGTAAATGGCACGCGCTTCTTAATTTTAATGGTTTGTGATGAATAATAATAACAGACGGCAGCAGCGCACATACGAGCATGTTTGTACGTATTACGTAACTGAATAAAAGTAATAATAGTTGCCGAGGAAAACTTGAATTTTCATGCAAGTGAAATGAGCGGGCAACTTGCTAAAGCCAGTTGCACTTTTCTCAAACGGCAACGGCAACAACAGCAACAGAGGAAAATCAAATTTGCCAGGCAGCGGCAGCGACGTCGACAGAGGCAGCGACTGCAAGGGGGAACGCGCAACCAGTTTCACTTTGCGAAAGCAAAAACAGTTTCAATTTTAATTTCAATTTCATTCGAGTGCCGAACGTTGCGGGCGAAAAACGCAGCTTCAATTCAATTTTCCATTATCCAGAGAATATACAAAATTTACTGAACGATGAAACTGGCCGACCTGGATGAACAGTACGCGCGCTTTCCGCAGATCAAGCGAGAGGAGATGCAGAAATTTGTCGATTGGATACATGCCCAGCCACACATTTCCCCCCACTTTTCCGAGGGGGAGGCACTGCACTTTTTCCACGCCTGCAAATACAGCATGGAAATGGCCAAGCAGGTGCTGGATACAAATCTCACGGCACGCACCCACCTGGACGACTTCTTTGTGAATTTGGATATCGAGTCTAGTCAACTAAAAAGAGCCATGAAAACGGTGTACGAAATATTAACTTCACCTATATGTTGTTACCTGCAATAGACTTATATCATCTGCAGTTCCATCGTTCCATTGCCAGGCGCCACTCCGGAGGGTTATCGTGTTATAGTGGGTAAGCTGGAGGATCTGAATGCATCCAATTTCAATTATGCCGATGTCATGAAACTGTAAGTGCAAGAAAAATAGTTTTATCGAATCCTAAATACCCTAACAGACATTGATATCGACGTACTGTGCATATATATAGTATATAGATGATAAATGCTTAGTCAACTTTGACTCATCATCATCAAAAAAGGTTTCAGAATAGCTTACCAAGTGTTCATAGGAATAGACGATACTAATATACCCTAAAACTGACAGAGATAAGATTAAAAATGTTTAAGTATTTCTTTTCTTTTGGGCTTCCAAATGATAATGAATCGAGGGGTACTATATATTGCTATATTGCCTAAAAGCAAATAGGAAATTTTAATTTATTTATTGCACTGTCATAAATTTCAATTTTGTATTAGTTGTAGTATATTCTGCGATATTAGTGATATTTGAAATGTCCAAAAACAATTATGAGTGCTAATAGTAGCAATTAGTGGGCCACGTGCACTTGAAAAGTCAGCTTCGAATATTGTCAGTCATAATTATGACAGGTGCAAAATAGGTTTAATCTGAGAGTCAAAGCTCAAAGTGCCTCAAGTCAGAAGCTAGTGAAAACGTCAGAGCAACTACTGAAACTATAAAAAACATGCACGCAACATGGCATGATCAGAGACTGAGACAGATACATTTGCAGGCCGCAGATACAAAATTGGACATAGATATATATACATATGCAGTCTCAGCTATATATGCAGTTATAGATACAAGCAGATACATTTTTGGCACACATATATATACAGATACAATTGCTAAAACAGATATAGATACAAACATAGGCATAGATACAGATACATATGCAGCCACAGGTATGCAGTCATAGATACAGATACAATACAGATACAGATACATTTGCTGGCACAAATGAAGATACCTTTACACTTAGATAAACATATAGGCCTAGGGGCTGATAAATTTACAGCGAAACACATTGCAGAATTAGATACAGATATTAATTCTGATGCAGATAAATAGAGAGGCATTGGCTTAGATATAGATACATTCGATGGATACAAACACAGGCATAGATACAGATACATTTACAGACATAGTTACAGTTACACAAGCAGTTACTGTTGCAGATACATGCGAAGCAACAATTTGCTGTTTAATGATTGTCAATTAAAAAATTTATAGTTAAAAAACAAACGAATCATATATTGTCATGCATGATTAACTGTCATTGGCAGCTACTGCATGGTTTTTGATTATTGGATGTACGAGGATGGCATACAGCCGGGTCACGTGATCGTCATAGATCTGAAGGGCTGCTCCTTGGGCCACGTGGCACGCATTGGTTTGCTGCAGATGAAGAAGTTTCTTTTCTATTTGCAGGTAAGAGATTCCATGAGACGTAATGCTTATAGTATATAAAGATCTAGCATTAGTTACAAGAGTGATTAAGGCACAACAGGCGTTCTTCTGCTAAGAATATAATTATTTGATTATTTTAAGCGAAGAGCCTTCGGCTTGTGAATAGTGAGCTGCAAAAAGTGTTGCATACTTTTAAGCTTGTATTAAATTCTTCAAAGACCTTAAATATACTCAATTCTATTGTATGACGTATCTGATTGCTGTAGTACAAAATTATGTGTATCTTTATCTATATCTGCCTGTATCTTTAGGAAGCGGCTGCCATACGTCTCATCGGCTTCCATTTCATCAACATTGTGCCCTTCATGGATAAGATATTGGCGCTAATGAATCCATTCATGAAAAAGGAGTTGACCAGCATCCTCTATTTGCACAACGATATCAATGAGTTCTTTAAATTTGTGCCGCGTGAGATGCTGCCAAAGGACTATGGTGGACCACTCGAAGAGACCAAAGTGTCAAGGGGTAGCATTGCATACAATACATACTGTATTAATATATATACATCTATAGTTTTTCTACATATTCCTAAACAGATATATACTACAGCAAAATGATAGACAATCGAAAGCAAATACTGGAATACGAGACGCGTCATCAAGTCAACGAAAAGTTGAGACCGGGCAAGCCAAAGAACGCTTCCGATCTGTTTGGCATTGCGGGCAACTTTAAGAAATTGGATATAGATTAATATAAATTCCTTAAGAATATTTGAGTGCTCCGATTTTTGGTGTTTTGATAAAAATAAAGTTATTTTACAGTTGTCAAATGACCGTTGGAACATGTCTTCATTTTATTCAGCTTAGAGCTATATTCTAGTTACTTATGCAATATAGATTTCAAGGTTTTTAACGAGTCGAAACATAAGATGAATGTACAGATGCCTTCGATTGGCGTTGACTCACGATATATGATCTTATACTATTATAAACTATTAAGAGCTATAAAATAGTTGCCCGTTGGGTGACATAAGTATTAGATAAGTCCATCTCATGGTTATACATAATTTATATTACTATGTGAGCTCAAATTTAAAACTATTCAAATTTGTAAATATGTAAATATGTAAATATATATATATATATGTGTGTATATATATGTCAATAAAATAAAACTTGCGTTCCATAATCCTAGTTAGCTAATTGAATATAATTGTAATTGTTTAAACAATATTTATACAGTTGCGCCAGTTTTAGCTTGTGTTACGGTTCGTTGCAATTGGATCCAACAATTGCACTTGAAGTAATTGTTACCTGAAAGAAAAACAGAATAAAAATAGTTATATATTGAAAAATAGTGCTGTAAACAATAATGTGTGTAGATTTGAGCTAGACTCTAGGCTTGGTCAATATATAATAATTTTCTAAGCTATCTTCATGATATAGTAATCCGTTCTGCAACACATAGCTACTGCCTGCAATTGAGAAGCTATACAAAAATAATGTGATGGAGACTTGGAAAGAACCAGCTAAAAATATGATTTGGAAATTCAGAGAGTTGGATACCTATCTTTAAATGCATTACACTGCCTGATTGCTATATGTAAGCCTTTGCCAAAAAAAACCTAAACAAATCAATTGGGCGTCGTACGTGTCTAAAACCTGTTTCACGAACAGTAAAGAAAGTTTAGATGTGGATTCGAACTCTAAGTCGCACCATAACTATATATTTTTATGGCCTTGACTTTATGATCGATAGCGCTGTTACTCACTGTTGATAGCCCTTATTTATTTGGCTGTGGCGCATAGCCTGGGCATTGTTGTTGCTGTTGATGGGATTGTTAGAATTGCGGGCGCGGCTGCTGCCCTTGAGAGAGCCTCGACTCGTAGACTTGGCCACATGCTTTTGGTGCTGCTCCGTAATGTGTCCAAACTGCGCATTGTTGCTGACGGTGATGGGCAACTGGAAAAGTAGAAGCAACTGATAAGATAATGAATTGCAAGTGTAATAAATTTAATTTACGTGTATATTGTAATGCTGCACGGGAATTGGCTGCGTCTGCTTGGCGCCATAGTTGATTTGAGTGTTGCGCTGATTCGTCATGGTGGTATTGCCCAGATGAGTGGTTGTGGCGGGTGTGATGAGGGTGACTGGAGTGACAATGGTGCTGTTGTTCGGCGCGGGCATTGTGGAGGGCAGCGAGACAGGCCGCAGAAATGTGTTGTTAGGCAATTTGAGCATTTCGGGGGCGGCGGGCGGCACGGGATTCACTAGTGATATCATTGGCTGATGTGTCCACTTTTTGTTAGGTGCTCCCACGGCGGTAGCTCTATTCAATTGCGGGTTGGGACTTGGTGTCGTGTTGGCCATTTGCTTATGCTTGCCACGACCTGTGACCTCAGGCTGCGCCTGCACCTGTACTTGAGGCTGCACCTGTACCTGCGCTTGCGCCTGCGTCTGCACCGTGGCTGCTTGGCCGCAACTGGAGGAGTGTCGTTGCCAATGCATCTGCTGACAGGGATAGTCACAGTATGAGGTGTTCCAGCAACAATAGAGTTGTGCCTCGCGCATACAATTCGCGCACCATTGCTTCTTCTTCGCTTCATCCACGGCTCTCATCCGCTCCACCGTACTATGCTGTCGGAGCTCGCTAATCACTCGCTTGTTCTCCTGCTCCATGGTCTTGCGCATTTCGGAGATCATCAGATCTGTAGACCGTTGCAAGTCCGCCAACTGCCGTTCGTAGTGCTGCTTCATACGCTCGTTTTCCAGCGTCAGTCCAGCAATTCGGGCCTGCAGCACACTGGGCTCGCCTCCTGCCAGATCGCTAAGCGTGTCCTCAATGACTGAGATGAAGTAGTCCGTAATCTGCATGAAATTAAATCAGATTAGCTAACTTGCAACTTTTACATTACAATTTGATTGATTGCTAGACTTTTGATTGATTCTGTGATCTTGTGATTGAAATATCTTTACATACAACATCCCGCAGCTCACCTTGTGCGCATTCTCTTTTAGCCTGGTGGAGAGTGGTCCAGCATGTGCTGGATATATGTTGGAGCCATCCGACTGCAGTGGACCGCATGGACGCATCGTCAGCTTGGGTGGCCCAGGGCGCAGCAGCAGCTCACTTAGTGCAGTCGCCAAGCCGGGTGTGATTGGTTCCGATGGAGTCGATTCACTAACCAGGGTATCACTAGGCAGACCGTTCAGAGCGCTGGCCAGCAAGCCACCAGACTCTGTGCCGCTGGTCACTGGCCGAATAGTTGCCGTTGCCGCTGTGGTTAGCCCCGCCAGTGGCGGTGGGGGCACCGAGCTACTGGGAAATGTAGACGCAGACGCTGGAATTGGGACAGCCGTGATAGATGTAATCGCATTCGTGTTTTGCAACGTATTCTTAGAAACGGCTCGCAGTGGTGGCACTGGTATGCTCATCAGACTGGAATTGCTGATATTGCAGCCACTGCTGCTGCTGCTGTTGCCAATGCTGCCGCCACCACCATTAGTGTTGCGCGGTTCCATGGGTATGACCACCATGTTGGACTTGAGCAGACTTGAGGTGGGCGTTGCAGCTGGTAATGGTAGAACGGGCTGTGGTGTTGTCTCGTTCAACGATTTGTCGCTCTTCACGCGCAAAGGTTGACCCACTGGCTGTTGCATCTTGGGTGAGGCTTGGGCAGCTGTTCGTTGGCTGTTGCCTGGCATGGACGCGGTCGACGGTGTGGGCGATGACGGCGCCGGTGGTGGTGTCGAGGTTGGTGAGTGCGCTGAGGCGGGCAACGGGCCATGAGGCACACCTCGCAACGAGCCTCGCTTAGCTGTTGCCGTCGGCGTAGTCGTCGTCGTATCGGGCAATTTGGGCGTCTGCTTTTGACTCAATCTCTGTATTGTGGTATCGCCTACAAAGCGCACAAAGGCTTCAGGCGCGGCTGCAACTACGTTTGGTTGTGGCGTGGCTTCCACTGAGTTCATTGAGACAGGTTGAGCTTCTCTACTGGGTAGTTCGGGTGGCTTATTCTGATCCGTTTCCATTTCCTCCTCGCTGAGCACCTCTTGCTTGATGTTAACTGTCTCAGTGGTTGCAGCGGCTGGTGGTGGTTCGGGTTGCTCCGGTGGTACTGCAGCGGGCAGGTTGATCTCAGGCGCTGGTTGTGCATTTTCCACCTGCTGCGGTTCCTCCTCGACTGCCATTGGCTGTGTTGCACTTGCATCGGGAATTTCTTCGTTTTCCTCTGGCTCAGAGAGCACTTCTTTCTTGATTTCCACAAAGGGCACCACCTTGCTAATAAGCTGTTGCTGCTGTCGCTCCATTGCACGCTGCCTGGCTACCGCCTCATTAACAGTTACAGTCTCATTCGGCTGGACTGCAGCTATGGTTGGAGTCGGCTGTGGTTGCTGTTGTATTTGCTGCTGCGGCTGCTGTTGTTGTTGCTGCGGCTGCTGTTGTTGTTGCTGCGGCTGCTGTTGTTGCTGCGGCTGCTGTTGTTGCTGGATCTGCTGCTGCTGTAATTGCTGTGGTTGAATCTGCAGCTGTTGCTGTTGCTGTTGTTGTTGATCCCGGGAAATCTTGGTTATAGTTACACCGTGTCGTCTGCGCACCAGTTCCACCACCGACTCAACACCTGGACTTGCTTCAGATGAGCCCGCCGCTGGAGCTGCCGTCTCGTTGTCCACTTTAGGCAGTTCCGTTTCTTGTTCAGTTGGCTGTTGTGTCTCCTCATCATTATCCTGGCACTCTGCTGCCGCCGCCTTGCGCGCGTGTTTTCCGCGTCGCCTCTGCTCCGAACTGGTGCCCTGTTGGCTCGTCTCGCTGCTGGCATCACTCTGTGAATGTTTGCGCTTAATTGTGGGCGATGGGTCTCCAGGCAGAGTTGACGAAATCTTTACTAATGCCTTGCAGGACTCCAGGGATTTGCGCTTGAGAACAACTGTGCAGCTGCGAGATTCCCTTAAATCATCGCCAGCTCTGGGTATCACTTCGTAGTTGCTGCTCTTCGGCTTCGAGTGTTCGTTACTCAATTGCGACGACGACGATTCAGCATCGTGGATTGGTTTCTTGGTTGGGCTTGCTGACTGATCTGATTCGTTGCCCGATTCGGTGGCCTTTGTTTTTTTTACAATGGACAATTTGTCGCCTGAGGTTTTGCGTATGAGGAACTGCAGTGGGGCCTTGTTGGCCGGCGCCAATTGCCTGTTGATGACATCACTGACGCCCGGCATCATTTGCTCAAGCTGCTGTTGCTCCTCTTGCGGATCGTAGGGCGAGCGATACGGCGCATAGTTAAAGGTGCCAATTTTATTCTTTATATGCTCAATGTGCACCTCCACTTCGCGTATGCATTCGGCTAGATCGCGTGCGGATCGTCGACTCGTCTGCGTATTGGGATCTTGTGCGGAATATAAAAAACAATCCTTGACGGGCACATTGGCGCGATCGTGTTTGCCAAAGAAGCGTACATTAACACCTGCATTTGGACCGCAACCCATGGCCTTGGCTGGCCAGTAGGGAAAACCTTTCAGCTTGGCCCACAGCAGCAAATGTGGCTGGGTGCACACCTTAATGAACCACTCGTCACTGGAGTTGGCATTCAAATAGCACTCGGCGCAGGTATCTATCTCATTGGCCTCCTGTCGGCACACCTTGACTACTGCCTTAGAAGCTTGCTCCACTTTGACATCTGCCAATGAATGCAACGAATTATCCTTTCAAGAAAATACAGAAATTCATGCCACCCACCTCCAGAGTCTAAAATGAGCGCATTGTGCTGCATCCACTTCACCTCGCTGAGAAACTCGTCGGCGCTGTTAAACACGTGATTTTTTATGCGTTCCGCTAAACTATTAAAGCTCACCGGATTTGCAAAGTATTTGCTATAGCAATCCGGCAGCACTTCCTGTGGTGCACGCAATTTGTGTATCTGAAAAAATAAAACCAATTAGAGACTCCGTTTTGAAAACTATTAGTTAATTTACTTGAGTGCAGATGTACCATTCTACCCCATTCTGTTGCAGTGAACAGAGTATTAAAGCGGTAAAAAAAAAGCGGTATTGGTGCAGCAGCAGCTAGACAGCTGTGCAGCAATTCGCCGCCTAAGAGAGTCGCGGCGAAGAGAGTGGCGCAATTTCTATTGTAAACAAACAAGTTTGACAAGCGAAGAGCAGCAAAAGCAACAAGAACAGCAACAACCACAAGCAAACCAGAGCAGAGCCAGCCAAATGCCAGTATGTACGCTCACTCCACTCACTTATGCGTTAGTGTGCGTGTGCGTGTGTGAGCGTAACTAACCTCAAATTACACAGCAAACGTAGCTGAGGCGGCAATCCCAGGCAATAAAATATTGCGCCATTGGCGTCGCCGCACCACCACCTCTGCTGCTGTCGTCGCTGCTATTGCTGAATTCTTTTGTGCTTATTTCTCTGCTTCTTTGATTTGCCTTTTTTTTGTTTGCTTCCTGCTGCCATTCACCCATATACATGTACATTTATGCTCGTACATTACATCAGCTAATATGTATGTATATATGTCTGTAAGTATGTACGAATGTAAGTTAATTTGTCTGCGGTTTACACTTTGTAATTGTTTTTAACGCTCATTGCTAGCTAAAGGCTCAAACATTAAATTAATTAATTCATTTCTCGCACATTTTATGCCACGAAAGCCCAGTGGGTGGGGCATTAATTTGCAAGTTTATGGAGTGTTTTTGTTCGAGTCTCTGTTTCATGTTCAAGCATAATATTGCGCCCATCAACAACTAGAAATGCCCCAAATTATAATCTTAAGACTTAATAAAGTTGCTTAGAAATGTGCAAAATGTTAACATAGACATGAAATTCTTACAGTACATAATTCGACTTCAAATTCTAATTTTAATTGGGATTTACATTTGAGGTTTAATTAGAAAAGTGAAATAATTAACAAATGATTTTGATTTTAATTACTATTTTTACATTAAAAACGTATTTTTATACTCGTAATACAAAATATAATAGGAACGGTTTCTGTCTGATGATTGGAATGTTAACGGAATTTACAAAGATTGCAAAACCAATCGAAATCTAATTCGAAATGTACGTGACTTCCTAAAGAGTGTTCACATATTTCCTTGCAATACATTTTATATTATATTATTTGACTACATTTTGTAATTATTGTTGTCATTAAGAATAAATCCATGTGTTTATTTATCATCACGATGTACTTACGAATATATTTTATATGGACAGAACCCCAGCAGCAGAGGGGAAGTTAAAACTATATAAAAACCCAGCGAAAGCAACGAGAACGAGACAGTTCAGGTGTCTACACGTTTTCTTTATGAGAGAGAGGGAGAGGGAGAGAGAGAAAGCCAGCACCGGAGATGGCAGCAAAGAGAGCGCGCAACTGAAGACCTACATACACGCAAATGCATGTGTAAGTGTGTGTAAGTGAACGGCTCTTTATGTAATTGTTGTTGTGTGCGCGTAAATATTTCGCGTGTTGTTTTCAAACGACAAAACGAACGAATGCGAAACGAAGGCAGAGATAATGAAAATTGCGATCAGTTACGGAAAGCGAGTAATATATGTTCATATTTATACATGAATGTAAGATGTATAAGTATGTGTGTGATGTGCGTGTGTATATTCACTCACCCCGCGCACAAGTTTCATGCGCTCCAGTGCATAGGTTAACAGCTGACTGAGCAGATCCACGGATACATCATTGCGACGTGGCCTTTAAATGGCATACAAATAAGGGGATATTAAACAATTGGTGTCAGCTTCAAAATGTACCAAAACATTTACCGTTTAGGCGCGCTTTCAATGAGCTGGCATTCGGGACATTTCCAGGTGCTGTCAAACTTTGTGGATGCAGGTCGCACGCAGTAGGCGTGGAAGGAGCGTAGGCATTTGGAGCAGGGCATCAGTGCGCCACATGCTCGACACTTCCAACAGAATGGATCCCATCCGTTCTGCAATTGAGGGATATCATTGCGTGATATTTGTACATATTAGATATAAGCGATAAATTACCCTTGGTGCTGGTTGCCAGATCTCGTCGAGTCTTTTCTGCAGTTCTTCTCGTGCATCACCGCTTCCTGCACTGCCAGACCCCGTAATCTTTGTCTCATCCGTAGCATCCGAATACATGGATAGATTGGGATCCGTATCGGCTGTGGAGCTGGCACGCCACTCTCCACCATCCGCATCCGCATCCGTCTCGGCTTCCGCTTCCGCATCTGCCTTTTCCTGTTCCAGCTGATCGACTCGTTGAGGTTCCGATCGCTGATTACCGCTGCTCAACGAGACGGTCTTGCTGCGGGAACGAAAGCGTCTCGTGCTGCTGCTGTTGCTCTCTTCTTCTGTTTCCTCGTTGGTGCTCAGTTCCGTCAACGGCTCTTCGCCAGGATCGCAGGCCACCGAAAAGTTGCGTCTCTTCTTCGACTGTTTACTGGGCAGCTGTGTCGCCTGTTGCCATTCCTCAACAGAATCCCACATAGGTGCGTGTATGCTCTTGCTGCGCTTCAGCGTTGCCCTAACGCCGCCTCTTCCGCTGCTTGTCGAGCTGGGCAGCGTGGTGGACATGTTGCTGCTACTAGTCGAAGATTGCTTGATTAGATGCTCTGCAACGGCACGCGATTTGCGCCGCTTCATCTTAGCGCTGTCGGAGACGTAACCCGTCAGCACCTGGGATTCGTTGTGGGAGCGCTGTAGTGCAAGCATTTCCTTTGGCACGCGCACCTTCACCTCCTGCTTGGGCGTCGATGTGCTTGCGGGCTTCGCTTCGCCTTGATGTGTCGCCACCTTGGTCAGCTTCATCGTGAGCGACGCGTGGCCGCCAGCTGCTGCGGCTGTGTCTTTCCAGGCGCTCGAGTTGGAAGAGCTGCTGCCATTGGCCGAGCCCGGAGGAGAGCTAACTACATACTTTAATCGCTTATTAGGCAACGATTCCCGCTCCTGGGCAGCTGAACCTGTCCACAAAGTTGGAGGCGGGCTATCAATTGCCGAGGTCGCCTCATAGATGGGCCGCGGTATCGACGTGGTGCTGTCGTCGTCGTCGCTGCTGTCCATCTGCGATTTGTGATTGACTGTCAATTAAATAGATGCGTATAAATAGATGCATTACATAATGGGGTATATTTATATATAACAATATGAACATGAATACATTTATGATATAGAAGAGGCATGGGTTCGAAAATATCTCAAAATCTTACTAACTTCATTTATCATTACGTTAAGGCTGGAAACGTTTTTATATATAATATATACTTCTATATCTTTATAATTGAAGATATATTGAAACCCTAAAAGTACAACTGGAAAGCTGATAGTGTTCAAGAATATATCATCTTTCATGCAAAATAACAAATTGCATCACACAAATAACTATAGGCACGGACTTTCAACAGTATATTAATATAAGGGATCGTTCGATTTTAGTAATGACGCTAATTATAATAATAATAGTACTTAATTTAAATAGTAAATATATAAAAATTTCCTTTAAACGTTCAATTTTACATTGCCATTATTTTGTGAGATTTTATAGCTGTCAGCTGGCTTAATATGTACATATTCAAATAACAATAAATGCCTAGTTATAAATGTAGGGAAATAATCTCCAACATTCGAGCAAAATCCCAGTCATCGTTTTTGCAGCTGGTACTCGCTAAACTTGTGCAACGAGTTCGTCAATTCGCTGCTCTGCTAGGCTGCCAGCAAAGCGAAGAGAGCATAAAAGGAGGGGAGTGGAAGGGGTAATGGTTAAAGGTAATAGTGAATGGTACATACCAGGACTTTGTATTTAATATCGCTGCATGTCAATACACATGCAGGTATATATATATATATATGACAGTCTCGGACTGTGTATGTATTTTTAATTGGTAGAAAAATCTTCTTTTATTATTGTTTGTTGTTGTTTCCGCTTTGCTTTCACGCTTGTGGCTCGTTCTGCATTGTGTTTTCTCAGTTGGTTTTTTCTTCTGTTGTTGCTGTTGTTGTGCTTGTGGTTGCCACTCTGTTGCTGTTGCTCTTGTTGTTGTGATACGTGCAACTGCAAAATGTACACAAGATATAAAAAATACGTACATCTCTTATGCATGGTCATTTTTACATACTCTTATATGCGCTTCTACGTAAGCTCTGCACATTTTGTATGTGCGTACACTTACCTACATACATACATATGTACATATGCAGACGAAGCGATTATAATTTGCCTTACCAATCTTTGCTTTATTGTTTTTAGCTGCTTTTCAGAGCACGCATTTCAACTGTTGTTGCTACGTTTGCCTTATCGATGCTTACTCAATAATATGGTGTTTTTATTAAATTTTCTTACAATATTGTTGAATATTTTATTATAGTTTTAGCCGCACTAAAAAAACACCAAACTCGATGCGTCGTCGGCAAAGTGACTGAAAACGAATTCGCCGCAATCGCCACACTTCGCCCGTGTCAGTCAGATGTTGACGCTGCTTACGCTCATTTCATTTCTCCATCCCGCTCGCTCTCACGCTCTTCGCTGCGTGCTGCGGCCACAGCTCTTAGGCGGCTCTCTTAAACGCAATTGTGTGTCAATGCGGTGTCATTTGGTTTGCTCATCATTGATTATGATAATATATTAAAAGTACATATACATACAGACATACAGACATACGGACATACACACATATATGTTTGTGCATGCTGATATACATATATCAATTGTAAAGTGTGTGTATAAACTCATATATGTTTTATATGCTTTTACATATTAAGGCAAATTAGTTTTTATTAACAGATGTTTGCATGACTTAACAGATGTACATATATATGTACATATATTTATTTATATGTATATGAGTCTTTATGATGTGATTTATTTATTGCAATTAGCAAAGAAGTCTGATAAAATATTTTATGATATATATATACCGTAAGTATGTACATAAACATACATATGTATATGTATGTATGCATACATACATATGCTAATAAAAGTTGAAGTCTAATAACTTTTCGGTTTTTCTATAGATAAATTCTTTGAAAGTCAAAAGTATTTTTTTTTGGCTTCATCAACGTTCTAAGTTATTATCGTTACATATTTACCCTAAAACATATCTTAAGATCTCTACCTCTATGGTATTACTCATCTAGAGCTTTAGCAAATTGCGAGAGCTCTCAAACCCAGCTCAATTATTGTTATTTTTGTTGTTACTTTCTCGGTTAAGTTGTCGCCGTAAACAATCGACTAGATTTTGACAGTTCCGAAGAACTTTTAGCGTCATGAAAAATCAAATAAATAGAACAACTCTCATATATTCATGGCAAGCGATGGGCCGAGCCCAAAAAGGAAAGTTGCCACACATAAACCCATGCATAAAGGTCGAACTAAGTCAGTCTCCCACTCTCAGTCGACCCCTATTTCTGGCATAAATACATGCGAGACGATGTTGTTATACAAGATGTGAGCGTACCTGCTGTTGCACGGGCCAACATGTCAATGAATGGAGATTACGAACACAATTTGTATTCCAAAAAATACCGAAAACTGTTCCAAAACAAACACAAAAAAAACTTACTCGACGCGCCATTTTTATTGGTGTGCACAGAAAGTGAAAGAAAGCATATTCGGATTGCATAAAACTAGGGATTGGAATATGAATTATATATTATTTAGCATTGCAGAATAAAGGCTAGTTTATTGGATAATGTGTATTAGCTGAGTGTTACCAATGGAGTATTTATCTATTTGGTTTCATTTAGCTAAACAAAAATGACAATAAAAACTCTCGAGTAAGGTATTTTATAGTCGGTTACACCCGTTGGCTATACTTTGATATTGTTAGTTATATATCTTTATTTACAATCTAAGTTATATCTAAAGTCTTCGGAGCTCTTTTCAGCTTATGGCATAAGGTATTATCGCAGTCGGCTATGCCTGATTGCACTATATTTCAGCTCTGATATTGACAGATATCTATCTATATAGCTACGCTAGCACACTTACTGCCAACTATTGAAAGTCGTTTTAGTTGCAAAACAAAAGCTCGTATAAGGTATTTTACAGTCGAGCATACCCTACTGCCATATTCTAATTTTCATATTGATAGCTTTATATCTACCTTTTAGCTCCGTCTAGTCTACAGCCAACTGAGCTCGTTTCAACGGCTAAGGCATTGTCACCGTCGGCTATGCCCGATTGCAATTTTCTAACGTTGAATTTGTGTTTGTTTTGTGTTTTTTGTGCATGGGCAAAGTTTTGTATTTTGGTTTTTTTGGCCCTGCTGCTGGAGTGTTCCTTGGGGAGCAATTGGGTTAATATTTGCCACATAAATTTGCAAGCGAAACACTTTAATCAATGCTCAATCGGGGATGAGTTCTGAATGCACCTTTAAGCATAAGCTAAGGGCATACCGAATCGAAAAACAAAACTAAGCCTCAGGCATGCAGCTATCCACGTGCTCAGAGTAGGAGAGAGATACCGAAAGGAGAGAGATAGAGAGGGAGGGAGGCGTAGGGACTGTCAGTTATAACGTATTGCATTTCATTTTGTTGATCTTCGAGCTGCAGGCAGCTTTCGGCTCGTAACGACTTGCATAATCGCTTAAATGGAATTTATAGAAATCCTAGCTGCACCTGAGCAGGCAAAAGAGTGACGCACAACTAGAAAGAGTGAGACGAAGCGACAGAGAAAGGGAGTTAGATACAAAGGCCACGCTGCTGACACTCTACACTCAGCGAAAATTGCCCTATTGAATGCAATTTTTATGCAATATGGCTTTATGGTGAGGGTAAGCCGCTGTCAGGCATCTCAGCTGGGCGACATGAACACTTTAATCTTGCGAATATGTCAAGGCGTTAGGCCTCTTAGCAGTTGAACCGATTCGAAACGGGTAATTTAAACGGTTATTACAACTTGCTATTTGCATTTAACTATGAATCGTTACTAGAACAAAAGTAGGTGGTCCTTTGAGTAGATCTATAAGTAAAAATATATATATATGGTATGATTATATGCATTCGAGTTCAGGAAGGAATTAAATTAATAAGAAAAAATTAAAAAATAAATGTAAGTTAAAAAAAGACGTAGAGTATCTTATGTGCTAAGTTCTTAAATGCTTTTAGGCTTTTAAATATTTTATATAAGGCAAAAGTTCTTCAAATCAGAAATTTGAATCTTTCATTTAAATAACCTTTTCAAGGCTAAGCAAATGCTACGTTACTTTTTGCCTAGTGTAGCCATTGCCAATTATTGAGCGCCTGCCAAGTATAGGGGCATACTATATAGCCAGAACGAGAAGCTGCTTCTTCCTCTTCTATCACTGCTGCTGCTGCTTTGGGGCGGCGCAATGTAACAGGAGCAATAACTGTTTGGCAAACAGATTTATTTTGCAGGCTCTTCATTGTTGCCGGCCTCCTGCGTCTGCTGCTCCTGATTGCTGCCTGCTCTTGGCAGGCGCCTCGAGCTGCAGCTCCTGCGCCGCCCGCTCTTTCAAATATTGGTTTCTAAATTTTCATTGCCATTGCGGCCAGGCCAGGCCAGGCCAGGCACAGGCGCAGGTTCTGACTGTTGCAGATGCAGCGAGTGTATGTTTTGGCCACATTCGCTGGCTGCTGGCTGTTGGCTGCTGGCTGCTGGCTGCTGGCTGCTCCATGTGGTGCAGTGCATCATTTTTGCATTAGAAAAGTGCCCGCTCGCTGCTAGCTGTAAATAAGCCAAACGTTACGATTGCCCGTTCGCTGTCCCTGTCCCTATGCCTCTCAGTGTGCCTGAATCCGAGCCCAACTCCAAGTCCCAGAGTTGCCAGTGACTGCTCCTGTTGCGGCTCCAACCGCAAATTATGCTTGTCAAAAATGAATGTTACATTCGTAATGTAAATGGAAAACGGGTGGGCGGCGAAAAAGAAAGGTGCAGAAGAAGATGCTGGCTGCCGCTCCGTGTGCGGGTGGGCTTGCCTATGTGGGCGTGCGCATATAGGTTTTTGCGGTTGCAAACGGTACGTGCTCAATGCGTCGACAATCTCTAGAGGAAGCGCTAGCTAGCGCAAATGAAGCCAAGGCATTGATGGGCCTCCTCTGTGCGGGTGGCGGGTGGCTGGTGGCTGAGGGTGTCGGAATGATGGGGTGTAGGTGTATCCTGCTCTGACTGACTTCGTGGTTTGACTTTACCGCAGTCGCCACAGCGCCAGCAGCAGCTCCTGCAGCAGCAGCACCGGATGCTGGCGGCATTTGGAGGCAGCTGCTGGCAACTTTGACTAAATGTGTTTTGAGTGCATTAAAATGAAAATGTTATTACTCGTTCGCTTCTCTCGCCTCTCTATGCGCTTCTCAGTGGCGCGTTCTCTCAGCTGTCTCATTATTGCCACATTTGATGTCTGCGCCACATGGAAACGGCGGAGATTAAGCATCCAAAGGGGGCTGCATGGGCCGCTTTGATTGGGCGGGCTGGGCGCAATCCTCGAAATCCTTGAAATCGTTGTCCAAATACGAATCGAACGGAAATTTCTACACACTTGCTGCTGTTTGAGTTTGATCAACAAGTGAGGACAGTCGGAAAAAGGATGCGCTTTGCTCAGCCAAATTATGCAGATTAGCCTAAGGATATGCATGGCTATGCAAGGATATGCAGCACAGGAAGTCGCCAGTTGCAAGCACCATTTGAAAGACTAACAGAAGCGACAGAAACTAAAATTGATTTGCCCACTCAGCAGCTCCTGTTTACCAAATCAAGTGATGAGCAGCACATGCATATGCAAACGGAAGATTTGTGCAAATGCGTGCGTTTTCCTGCCAGGATATTAAACAGGTAGGCAATTACGGACCTTTAACTATTCAAATACCGTTCGAGTACTGCCAAAAGTCAGTCGAGGTCGAGCTAAACAGCGCGCCGCAGCCGTAATTACATAAAGCATAAAGTCCGCATCGAATTACCAGAATAACCTTCGCTAAGTACTCTAATAAAGCACGACATAAATAAGAGCGCAGCTACCTAACGCCTATGCAACAGACATATATCATAATTTAATCATAATTTTAA